ACGCACAACTCCAAGAATGTTTGCTGATGATACTAACTTAACGGCAGTAGGCAGAACAATTAGTGAGGCGGAAGAGAGGGCGAGCGTAGACATGAGGAATGTTCAGAAATGGCTTTGTGCAAATAAACTAAGTCTAAATATAGCGAAAACCGAGTATGTTTTAATTGGAACGCGACATAAAATAAGTAATATTGATACCCATCAAGGAGTTAAAATAAATAATCAATTGATTAAAAAAGTTAAAAATACCAAAGCTCTTGGAGTTGAATTAGACGAAAACTTAAGTTGGGAAAAACACATTAACCATATTAGCAGTAAAATATCATCAGGTATTGGGGCTATTAGGAAAATGAGGGAGTATGTCGAACAAGACATTTTGATAAAAGTTTATAATGCCTTAATCCAACCTTATTTTGATTATTGCTGTGAAGTATGGGATACACTTAATAAAAGCCTAAGCGAACGTCTACAGAAATTCCAAAACAGAGCGGCTAGGTTGATCATGAACTTAAAAAATGAACATGGTCAGTCTATTTTGGCACGAAAATCTCTAGGCTGGGTAACACTTGAAGAGCGTAGGGCACAAATGAAAGCCAGGCTCATGTACAAGACAGTTAATGGTTTAGCCCCCAACGACTATGCGAAGCTTTCCAAAATCTGAATACCATTCATGACCATAATCTGAGAGGTTCTTCAACAAGGTTTTATATTCCAAGACCAAAAACGGAATCCTTAAAAAAAGCTTCCAATATAGTGGGGCTAAACTATGGAATCAGATACCTGAAGAGATACGCAATTCGGTATCGTATAATTCGTTCTGTAAAAAGCTATCTTCCTCGACCTTAATCTCGACTTAAAGTAGTAGTTAATTTTTTGTCTAAATAGGTATATAATTGTATTTGTTATGTATGTAATATTAGAGCTAGTATATAAATAATAATTTGTAAGTACACATCCATTTTGGAAATCAGCTTTTGCTGAAAAGGCCAATGTGTTTAAATAAAGTTGATCTATCTATCTGACCTAGCACCGTTGCTTCGCGACGCCTTGGCACGCGAGAATGTATTCCAAACACCGCCATATCACCACCGCCTGCGGTAAATTTTCCAGCGCAAACCACTTCCCAAGTTACTGGCCTGATAACACCACAGCAGTTCCTTCGCCTTCCGTATCTTCGCCACTGGAGACTGCAAGTTTCCCCAGAAGAGGATTTCCCAAACCTGCAACCAATGCAACGAGGTTTCTGCCGCAATTTCAACGGGGGAGTCGAACTGATGACACTGATCGTTGCAGAAAACACAAGTAAAACTTTTTGTTGATAGATTAATTAATATCATTAATCTGCTTGAGTCCATGCTAATTGACCACCCAGAGCGTGACTTTGTTGTTGGCCTCTGACACTCTGTTCAGGTTTGAGTTTACGTTTCTAAAAATCTCAAAATTGTTTACCTGTTGCCAGAAATAGTTGACGGCAACTTATTAGACGAGGTAATGTAGGATCATACAATTGGGCCCTTCACAAGTCCTCCGTTTCAAAATTTCCAAATCTACTCTCTGAGACTCGTTCCTAAAAAGAATTCGTCCAAATGGAGAACAATTTCCCACCTACCCTATCCAAAATCGTCCGATACTAGCGTAAATGCCAACATTTCTTCCGAAGTATACACTTTATAGTACGAATTGACGACGCTTTAAGAATCCTTCTAAAATTAGTCCCGGACTGTTTCATGGCAAAATCTGATGTCCGCTTTCCGTAATATCCCAGTACATCCTGACGACTGGGAACTTCTCGGCATGAAATAGACTGTGTCCTCCCTTTTGGCCTTCGCGGTGTACCCTATATCTTTGATATGCCCTGGAATGAATTATATGAACAAATCAAATTTATAGGTTTTCCAAATGTTCTCCATATTTTGTACGATTTCTTCATAGTTGAAGCTGTTCCCCGTTCTTCGTATCATGTTTGACTTCATTATGTAAATTGTTGTGTCTATTCACTGAATTGATGTTCCAATCGCCCCTGCCGGAAAACCTATGCTCCAACTCAGATCTTAGAATTCCGCGGGATTTCCCTAGATTATATATTCGCATGCTTGTGCTTCAGCCCCATGACAAATTAAAACAGGCCAGAACCCTTCTTGGCACCTGGCGAAAACGCCCGGGAGCTTCAATCTCTTATTGGCGTCGGGTCATTGCCCCAGGTCGCACGTTTCTCCATCACATGATTGCCCTAAAATGTGGCGTTAAATTACAGCCTTACGTACCATTTTGTAAACTCGTGGTTCTATAAAGACTTAGCTTTGTGGGAGGTCTTTCTAAAATTAGTCGGGCAGAACACGAATATATGAATATA